GCAATATGTGGTGATTATCGATCAGATCTTGCAAGTGACAGGTTTTGATCAGGGCATCGAAATAAGATGGGTATATATATGGCGTCCTAATCCAGTGAATCCTCCACCAATCAATTTTGTCATTCCCTTGAGATGATACCGCAAATCGTGATTGTCAAAAAATGTTCACAAAGCCTGGCCATCATGCTTACAAGTTCTGTGGAGCGTCCAGAGCTTGTCGACCCAGAATCCCAACAGCCGGAGAGGCTCTTGTGCTGTGCCCGGCCATTCGATCTGCATCCACCTGATGGTGATTTGGTCCGGGGCTGCTTTTGGAATTGCTCTCCACAAGATACCAACAGGTCCGCATACGATCAATCTGCTGTCATCTCCAAGTCTTCTGTCATGGGTCAGAGCGGCAAGATCGTTCCACAGGGTCCATTCAATCGACAGAGCCGAGACTAGATTGTGCAAAATTTCTATCAGGATGGCATGTTGGATCCATGCAGATTCATGCATAACATACTCCGTCACATCCGGAAATCTGAGCTCACTTGAGGTCCAAGCCTAGTGCACAGGAACAAAGTGCTCAAGATCTGCCAGAAAGAGGAATACCTGATCGGCCGTGAAGCACGTGTGCGGCAATTCACAACAATGTGCACTCCATCTCACTGAAGTCACGAACCATCGGATGTGAAGTTCTGGGACAAATGATGGTGTGTGGCATAAATTCCGAAAGAACAAAAGATTTGGTGTCCACAGCAGTCCATTCAATTGGCAATCAACCGTCCTCGAAGATGCCTCGAGTGGCATCAGGCCACAAGTGGTGTCAATGGGACTCGATCTCAAGGATGGCGCGGTCGATGGCACCTGATGGCAAGGTTCAATCGCTGTGTCTTGCGTTCCGAAATGTTGATTCGAGAGCCATCTACAGAACAACACCGGACAGGATGCTCTACGAAAGTGAGTCTATAGGGCAACATCCATCGTGAATACACTAAAATAGTGTTTGCATGCAAGTTCCCCTGAGAGTTGATCATGTTCCGGCTCAAAGGAAAAAGCCGAAGGTCGATCAGCCTGGTGTTCCTTCCTGACATGTGCACACAGAGCTTTGCGGCCTACCTGTGCATGACAAATCGGACAGGTGTATGTCTTGGCAGCTGCAGGGTGTTCGATGGAGGGCAAAGCTAACATGTCCTTAATGGTCTTGGGTGCAGTCGAACAAGGTGCAGCGGAAGACTTGGTGTCAGTGTACACTACCGCATCATGCCGATTCTTCAGCGGACACTTGGGCATATGTTGGTCAAGCCCTTGTTTAGTGAGGAATCGAGTGTGGCAAGTCTCATATGTATGCAACTGACAAGGTGCAGCGGTGGTACCAGCAGGCTCAGGTTGATCAAATTTCCATTGGTATAGGCTCATCTGTGTCGCATACCTGGACAGCAGTCGAATCGGGTGGCTGAATCTGTGTCATGTCATCTGCATTCAATGAGGTCAAGGCTTTCATCATGACTGGCATGCACGGAAAGTGGGTTGGGTCATAGGTCTGGCCCATGAATCCGCTGAGTTGGAGCAGGACGCCACATTCATGGGTACGAACATCCTTGCAAGTCGAATTGCAAAGAACACAAATCCCTTTGCCACTACCTAGATTGGCAAGACCACGAACTTGTTCACGACAATGTGGTTCATAGATCAACAACTGTGGATGTGTATCTTTGTAGGGCTTACGAATGGGTGGACTCGAAAATGCACACTGCTGACTGAGCTCTGTGGTCAGGGCCTTGTTGAGAAGAAGGCCAGGAATGGATCGATACCTCAAGTGCATCCTCAGATCCGGTCTGTTGCAGATCGGGACGATGCAATCCTTGGCCGGGTCAAAATGCAAGCAAACACGACGGTTAATATGGTCACGTAAAGGATACAAATCAATGAAGGATTTATAGCAATGTGCACAAATTGGGTATCCATTGGTCATATCACGAAGTGCCACGAACAGATCTTCAATGTTGCAAGGGATACTATGATATATTCTCATATGACGTTTCCACGGGCCCGCCTGCAAAAAGGTCCTGTCACATTCAGGACATTTGAGAGTTCCAACCTGTGCACACGGATTAACATCGAGAGTGGGTTGGGGGATGATGCACTCGGCATAATCTGGGGTCTTGGCAATAATATCATCAACAGATGCATGCATGGTTTCGATCAGAAATTGGGATTTGGCGTGGCTCAGATTCAAGAGAAGTCTAGCATAATGTTTTCGCAATATGATCCATGGGGGATCAACTTGAAGACGAGCAAAAAACAGGCTAGTATTTTCACGAGTCAGGTGTACAGGTGAACGGGCTATAGATCGATGGTGCTAATTGATCATGCTGATCAACTGCTGTGCACCCCTATGTGTGAGACCCATTTCAAACACTCCGCAAGTGACCGTGGCGTAGACACACTGGCGACACAGGCGTAATCTGAAATGCAAAGGATGATGCCTGTCCATGAGCTGAGAATACGAAAATAGGTTTGGGCGGCCTTGAGTCTTCGCTGAACAGTATCGTTTTCCCAAGCTCTATAGCTTAGAATGACACCTAGATACGATGTTTTGCTGACAAGGGGGATCTGTATGTCCGGGTTCGGAAAATGCAACAAGGGACCATTGGATGGTTGTTAACACCACTTACGATGGAAGGACAACACCTGTTTCCCTACCAATCTCATGATCGCGACACTCTTTTGAATGTTAACTCTGAAGCCCGCTGCACGCAGGTCACAGAGCAGCATATCAAGATCTTGAAGCGCCACCAGGGTGGTATGCGGGGAATGCACAATCCATCTAAAGTGCAAGTCGTCGGCAAACACAACAACGTGATCACGAATCCATTCCATGGAGTGATTGGCCAAGAGACGATGCAGGAAGTGGTACATACAAATCGTCCAGAGAAAGGGTGCATCCCGATCCCTCGAGAGGCCCGGATCCTACCTACTAGGTCCTTATGCGGAATGCAATAAGTATGCGGCATCAACCATGCATGTACGAGTTGTCTGAAGTCTCCAGCCACAGCAGTATGTGACACTTGGGGATGTGTCTGATGCCGTCAGCCAAAAGATTCCACAATCTCTTCCGATCAACAAGAAGTTCATATTTGGCTCGTGCGGAAGTCCATGCATATTGATAGACACAGAAAAAAATCATGAACTCTGGGCAGGTTCAACCGTAGGTGAAGAAGTCGTCCAGGAAGAATCGCATGAAAGGTAACCTGGTCAGGATTGATGATGGCTCTGCGGATCATCAGCAGTTGAGAGGCTCTGCAATGAGCATTATGGATACAAATCCAGTGGGAGGTGTGCCATTGATTGCAAAAATTCCAGCCAATTTCCTGGAGAATGTCGTATCCATTCTGATTGCACCAGTGTAACCACTCATCATAATTCAATCCATTGCCAGCATTCCAGCAAAAGACCTGTAGGGCAGGTGCAGAGACAGGTGCCACTGGGGTCATGGAAGGCCGGACAGGTGTTGCAGCAGGTTGTATTCAAAATCTCATTGGAACTTCAGTGGCCCATAAAGGGTGCGTCCATGATATTCTGTGTGTTCCTCTCGGAGAGCACGTCTACATGCTTGTTTCCATGCCCTCTTAATGCGCTTGCATCTGGATGGAGATTGAACATGGCCTAGGCCAAATCGTGCCCATACCTCACTAATTTTCGCGCCCTTCAGAGGCGGGGATAGAGAACCAGGGTCGATGGCGCTCCCCCTGTCTGGTGAGAAGTAGACAAGAACCCTCGTGCCAATCATAGCCTCCGGTGTGTCAAGTGGTAGGCTCCCAACTATGGTCCTCAGAAATTTGCGACTAAGGTCTCCAGGTGTAAACTTAGTAGGATCAATGCCAGGACGAAAATCCAGCAACGCATCACAGCAAGCGGGATCCACATGGCGTCATCCTACAGAAAATGGCAACGCCCAACGGATAGAACTGGAGATGGCATTTTTATATCAATAAATATACGAAATATCAAAAATCACAAAAATATAATAAAATAAATAAATTGTATATATAAATAAATTATATAGGAAAATCTATCAAGATGTCATTCTTACGATTCAGATCGAGAAACCATTCGATCTAAAAGCACACCATGAGATATTCACATGTAAGAATTGCAATATGTGGTGATTATCGATCAAATCTTGCAAATGACAGGTTTTAATCAGGGCATCGAAATAAGATGGGTACATATATGGCGTCCTAATCCAATAAATTCTCCATCAATCAATTTTGTCATTCCCTTCAGATGATACCGCAAATCTAGTTCTCAAAAAATATTAATACATACAACGTCTTGTTATCTTCCGAATAGATATTAACCAATTAGTATAGAATGCATAAAATTCATCAATGCACCTAAATTAGGCATCAAAAAACATTTGTTTTTTTTTATCCAAAAAATTCCATCAATCAAATATAATATCTCTAACAATATTAATTATATAAAAATCGAATAAATATACATAATCTCCATTTAATTGTCAACTAAAAATCATAAAATATTCCATTTTTATCCAAAATTCGCAATAACAAAAAAAATCAATCCTGTATCTATACCCGACCAAATAAACAAAAGAAAGAAAATATATCGATAAATTCATTATATTCATTTCATTCATAATTTATTAAAAAATAATATTATATATATATATATATTCAGCCAATTATATACATAAAATATTTATTTAAAATATATATTCTACGATTCCAATATAAATCTATTATATTTTAAACATATATTAATTTTACATATTTATAAAATTAAATATATATAATCATAATAATATATTCAATATATTTTGAAAATACTATATAAACAGAAAATATTAATAGTTAATTACTAATCATTATTAATTAAAAATTTTTTAAAAGAATGGGAAATATGTATATCAAAGAATACCAGGCCCTTAAAACGCCTTAACCATATAGTTTGTATTAATATTAATCGTTTGATTCTTGCAACTATTCCTTTTTCGTTGCGATTTGTATGAAACTAGTTGGCCTTCGTCGCCCTCGACATCTTCAAGGTCTTATGATTATACGTCAGCAGTCCTCCAATGATGACCACCAACCTCGCAGCAGAGTTCGAGTTGTGGTCAAAAAAGGTTCGCACAGATTGATACATAAGACTTGATAAAATCTACATGCTCACCTCAGGTCAATCCTTACAACATGATTGGTCCCACAAGTGAAGATTTTTGACTTGGATCTGAGAGTAGCTCTCATGCCTTAGGACTTACACACCCTTTGACACATGACAGTATTGTAGTCATAGAAATCAACAACCCCCGCAGCAAGTGGTCACAACGCCCTCCTGTAGCCTGTAAACGTATTCCATCGAGAGTGGCCACATATCACATGTTGACAGCTCACAATGACAGAATCATATTCCCTGCTCACCAATTTGGCAACAACTCACTCATCAACTAACAAAACAATAGTAAATACTATAGTAATCTATATATATATAGTTATAAATATATATATATATATATCTATATATATTCTACACAATACATATCGACATATAGATCTATTGATTGGCGTCCTTTGAGCAAGCCGGCCGACCTGACCCCCCCACATCCCCGACCGGGGATCCAGGCCCTGCCACAAAGCTCCAGCGGAAAGGCGCCGCGCCCAATAAGGGCAGCTTGAAGCAGAAGAACAATGAAACCAAAGGTACCTAGGTGTTCTCTTTGGTGTGGCGAAACCCAACTTCCCTCGACCCAAGCAACCGCCAACAAGCGTTCGCCGTGTTCGATTTGGTTTTGGAATGTCCAACTTAGTGTTTACTGACGCAACTCCCAGTCTGTTGGAATACCCTTAGGAACCAGTGTTCATTGACGCAAATCCTACAACTACTGGTTGGGGCGCTTGGAAACAAGCAAACATATTGCAAAACCACCAGTTTGGCACCCACACATTCCCGCCGGAAAAACACGGATTCCGGAAAAAAACACCTGATGGAAAATCCTTCCACGAATGGTCGGCCTGGGTGGCGAGCCATACTCGACTTCACATAAGAGCCTAAGGATGCCTACGGCTTAACCTCGAAGAGTCGATTTCTTTGGCTGGGAGATCCCGTGCGGATCGAACCGAATGCGGTGCGGAACCGCCGTGGATCGAACCCGCCGGAATGGAACCGGCGAATGGACTTCCGCCGTGCCCAAACCGGTGGTGGAGGAGGGCTTTATATTGTTTTTGGATGTTTTTGGGGTACTCTTGTTCACCCCCCCGGGCGCAACTGGCTGGCCGAAGCAATTCGTTCACTAAGCTCTCCGCATTCAGGACATTGACAAGCAGAAAGATCTGGGCCGAGCACGGAGCACCGATTCGGCTGCAACGGTGCTAGACCGATGGGACTCTGGGACCGATGGCGGCAGCGAACAAAGGATGCTTAGTTGGGTGATGTTGCAATTGTCCAGTTTGGGTAGACCCATCTTTCGCATCTACTTCAGTTCTATCGGTTTTAAAGGTTTCAAACACCGCCGGAAGTTGGTGGAATCAAAGAGCTGCGGAGGTATACCATATGCTATCATATGCTATCATATGATCCCTACCTATTAAGGGGTACCTAAAGAAATGTAAGTTACAATATGTGGGGGGCATGGAAAGTGAACCCAAAAAATGTAAGCTTACATTGTTCCAGGTAACGTAAAACAATGTAGGCTACATGTTTTTTAAATATAAGCCTAAAACATTACATTTGTTTCAGATCACCCTCAAAGACAGGAACACAAGCTCCAATCCCCAGCCCCCTTTCCCAATCTCCAGCCTACGGCTGCCCACCTAAAACATGTCAGTTGCTTAGGGGTCCTGGAAACCATAGAAATACAATAGCAGGGCCCAAAAATGTTCAGTCATTTATATACCTTTTGCATCCTTTTGTACAGCCACTAAAGTTCAGCTAAACCCAGGAAAATGTAAGCTGTCTTGGGTTAGGCCACCAAGAAACCGTAAAATCATAGACATACAATAGAAGGAGCCATGGGAAGCTTCCCAGACAGGGTGCCACCATTGTTTTGGGCATCATTTTCACAATGCGTCTTACATCTTCTTACTTATCTTTCTAAAAGGGGGTCAAGAAAATGTAACGTGGAACGTGGGAAGTTACATTTTCTCCAGCCCCCCCGCTTAAATTGCATGCTGACGCATGCCAGCCACCTCCTCATTTCCTGGTGAATTACCAGGAACACGCAAGCAGCAAATATCCGGGAGGGTGGCCATGAATATGGCCTCTACTTACTTAAGTAGGGCCAAAAGCGAGGGGGGTGGTCAACATACATTTATGGGGTCCCTCGAAAATTGTAAGTTACATTTTTGTACATTTTTGGGGTTATCTCCCTGAGGGGGTAGGGATATCATATGATATCATATGCTATCTACAATCTTAGACTCGTTTACACCTAGCTGAACTGACTGGATTTGACATGTCTGTGTAAACATGTCTGTGTAGAACATACGTGTGTGGGTGTGGTGGCTTAGCGACGACACCGAAACGGACGCCAAAAACCAACGCCAAACGGACGAACAGGACTTCAAACCACTCGACCCGAGGTGGTCACGTGGCGGGATGAGTCCAACGGAGGTGGCGGAAGTCGACTTCTTCCAATGGATTTAGTCTCATGGGTGCCGAGAGAACGCCTAAGGTGTCCAGTCAACTGCAGCATGATGATTGATTGAGACAAGCCCCACAAAAACCGCATGGCGACAGTAAGGACATGATCTGATGCTAGCTGCTAGACTGGTTCCCAACCTCAGGCCTTGAACTCTGCTTCATGTCCTGTCATCCCGTGTCCACTCTCTTTACCAATCACTTGCCCCGTCCCCAACCGCTTCAAACCACGCGTTAACGCGTTAACGTGCCGATGTGTGGAGGATAGCGCCGCGCCAGTTGTTTCAACGGTGACCGTCTCAGCCGATTTGGATGAAGCTAAACACTGAGCTGCTCAGAAAGGTCCTCCAAATGGGTGCGCAAAATAATAATAGGGAGAACCCCAACCAACGGTTCTTTTTTCCTTGGATGTCTTTGGGAAGTCTCCCTATTTACTGTAAACACACGCCCCCATGTCTTTCCTCACGCGTCTTCCAATGAAGCAGGGGACCACTTCTCAGGTCCAAATCTCCAGTGATCCAGATATCCAGTGTTGATCGCTGGAAACGAGCTCGTCTCGCTGAGACTGTTGTAATGAGACGCACTGGTGCAGTGTTGAGGCCGCTCAAGTCCCCACAAAACGCAGAAATCCGAAGCAATCCCGTTGAGGGCTGGATGTCGAAGGCTCCAAATCCCTTTACTGCCGGTGGCCAGCAGTTCATCTGACCTCTCGTCGTCTTCTACCAGTCACGTCCCTCTTCAGTGGCGATCGCACCCATGCGATCTGGCTAAAGAGCCCAAGCTGGGCCATGGGGACCAAGGTGTGGGATCTGATCTTGATGTCTGAATATCACACCACCGATACAAAGGGTTATTGCCATAGATTGGCTGTCCCGAGCAAGCTCACCCAGCTGAAACGCGCTCGTGGGACCTCGGGCTCCGGGCAACAGCCGACAGCTCTTTCAACACCAGAGTGGTGACCTCGGTGTAGACCTGGTGCGACACCGAAGAGAGATGGAGTCGTGCTAAGCGCCAAAAACTTACAGTTGCATATATAATATATATATATATATACAGATCACATCTGTGTATTATATATTTATATGGGGGTTGTTCAAAAGTCCTTTCATTATTTTCCAGGCCTTTCGCAGGACCTTCGCGAAGCTTTCGCAAGCTTTCGCGCGTGGGGTTTTACCACTGTCGGCGAAAATGGTTTTCGTTGGGGCTAGAGGCTTTCAAGGATTCATGCAGTTGCCCTGGCACGTCTTGTGTCCTCTGATCACTGACACATTGATTGCTGAGGAACAGGAAGCCAGCCAACCAAGCAGTTTTCATGTTGGTGTGTTTTTGGTTGGGCACAACCCTCCATGAACAAGAGACGGCTCAGTCAGGCCAGTTTGCTCAGACTTCCAATTTGCTTTTTCCCGGGCCGGGAAAAAGCAAAATGGTTCAGACTTCGAATTTGCTTTTTCCGGGGCCAGGAAAAAGCAAAATGGTTCAGACTTCGAATTTGCTTTTTCCCAACCCGGGAAAAAGCAAAATGGTTCAGACTTCCAATTTGCTTTTTCCCGGGCCGGGAAAAAGCAAAACGGCCAGACTTCCAATTTGCTTTTCCCGGCCCGGGAAAAAGCAAAATGGTTCAGACTTCCAATTTGTTTTTTTCCAAGCCGGGAAAAGCAAAATGGCTCAGACTTCCAATTTGCTTTTTCCCGGCCCGGGAAAAAGCAAAATGGCTCAGACTGCCTGGAAACAAGCAGCGCCTGTGGGACTCGAGCCCATAACCTTCTGCTTATGGGCTCACCACCTTATCCATTAGGCTACAGCGCTCTGAAAGCCATGCTTTTTTTCCAGGCTTTACAAAAGAAAACTGGATGTCCAGTTTGCTTTTCCGGCTCAAACTTCCAATTTGCTTTTTCCCGGGCAGGCCCGGGAAAAAGCAAAAGGCTCAGACTTCCAACTTGCTTTTTCCCTGGCCGGGAAAAAGCAAAATGGCTCAGACAGCGGCATGACTTGACACAGAGAGCTGCAGATGGTCATTTCCGTCTCTGCCTCTCGCTCTCGCTCTCTCTCTCTCTCTCTCTGCTCTCTGCTCTCTCGGGAATGCACCAAAATGAACCACAATCTCCCCCGCACCCCCGCGCCCTAGTAGCGTCCTTGTCACTAGTAGCGATGCCAGGAGCCCCTAGTAGCGTCCTTGTCACTAGTAGCGATGCCTGCGGTCCTTCCAAGGACCAAACAGATCAGAAACAACAAACAACAAACCCTGTGTGTGTGTGTGTGTGTCGAGTGCACGCTCATGTTACATCCTTAGAACCGCACGCTGGAGTCACCGACCGTGTTGTATGCGCACTTACAGCCGTAGAACCAACCACCTCACCTCACATACCTGCACTTGTGGGCATGCTATGAGTGCATCTGCAGCTGGAGTGTCCAGCGCGTGCTTCCAGCAAGAAGAGTGGAGTGGGGTGGGGTTTGGCCCTGTCGTCTTTCGCGTCCACAATGCGAACCTTTCGCCATACTTGCGCAGTTTCACACGACAAAGAATTTTCCAAGGGTCGGGAAAAAGCAAAATGGTCCAGACTTCCAATTTGCTTTTTCCCGGG